TCTTTCCAGTGCTGATTGTTCTGAAACAATCAGAATAAAAGATCTAACTCCACACTCAAGGACAAAAAAACAAAACAAAAGAACATTATGGTAGAAATCTGAACACTACAATACCTGTGTGAATGAGGACATGTCTGCGCAGGTGATAGGAGCTTCTGAAGGATGCAGAGCAGTGTTCGCAGATGTGAGGCTTGTTTCCCGGAGACAGGCTGCCTCCATCTGCATCCAGCATCATTGATTGCTACAGAATAGCACAGAAGAGAGAAAAAGAGGCCAGATCCAGTCAGTTTTCTTTGAAATCAACTGAATGTATTTAAAATTCTTTGCAGACATAGTTAAGTTTCGCACAGTTTGTATTTGCTTTGTTTGGCATCCTTTTTGCAATTCTGACTTGTGATTTTGTCAGTTTACAGTATAAATATAAAGTTACCAGCAACTCAAAATACAAAAAAAATGAACCAGCCACTTAAAATATGGACACATTTTGACTTTTTTACCATTTTTACAGTCACGGACAGCAGAGAATACAGTGTGTTTGTATGTAAAGTGATTCTTTTCTAACAAATTTTTGTGCCTTTTTCAAAAAGTTCAACGAAAAATTATGACATGAAAACAAATGAAATTTTGTGTAAAATCCTGGCATTAGCTATTTCAATTTGTTTAGTTCTCAGCTTGTCTCTGCATTATACTCAAATATAGTTATGTTGCTTTAAATCAACACAGAGACTGTAGATGATACAGAAAACTGTGCTATTCCAGTTGTTTTTCACATCTTGTGAATTTTTAACCATCTAAACCCCAAAACTCGCCGGCAGTTCTGAAAGCAATTTAAAATAAATAAATAACTACTTATAAGAAGAAAAAACTGTGAAAACAGAAAGAATCCTTTAATTTTTAACGTTCTGATGGTCCCTTAACTAAAGCTCCCCAAATCTAGGGTTAAAATTCTGAAACTGATCATAATGGACGAACTGCTGTGTTACAAAAACTCTGACACTTCACAGCTAAACTGCAGGCTGTGTTTACACAGAGCAGATACGAGACAGGAGTATCAAAACAAATTAAAGCTGCAAGTACTAAAATATTTATAGTGTGCAAGGTCACCATTTCTATCCAGTATTGGTAACACCTGTGGACACTTGGAAATGGTTGTACTTGTAGATGTATACTTTGCTGGCTCTGTCAGTCTGTCTGGTGCGTCAAACAAGCTGTTTCGTTGATGAGTTAAAAAGATAAACTGATCTGTAGCTGATTATTTAAAAAGAAAATGAGGGAAGAGGAGGCAGACAGAGAGAGGTCCGACACAGACGCCTGATGATCAGAGAGCAGGCGGAGGCAGAGAGACACCGACAGAACCAGTGAAGGATTAAAGCCACTCATTCAATTACAGCGGCTAATGCAGGAGAAGGGCCGCAAAACAAAAGGAGCATTAATCACGATAATGATTTTAGCTTCGCACTATTATAGGAACATGATCTACTGTGGTATTTACACATAAATATGACGTCTTCTCATGAAATGCAGAGCGCACCAACACACTATGTTTTTTCCACTCATAGAAAAGGCTGCATGTAGAAGAAGATCACTGGGTTTCATCTTGGATAAACTTGACGAGGAACACTTTAGTTTATTCAAGTCATTTCTGGTCACACACCGGTATGAGCACACCACAGCCACGAAGCAGCAGCTAGCGCAGTAAATGTGGTGTCTATCGATATGCAGGTGTTCAGCTCGTGATGTGTTTTGCAGGTGACAAGGTAGGAAATATGAAAGTTGGTTGCACCGATGCTACCAGTGAAAAAATTTGTCTGGAGCCCTGACATTATTTAAAAATGCACAGAAACTGCTTGGGGTTCTGATGGTTAAAGTAGTAGACCAAAATATACATTTTTGCCAACACATATATTTTCAGGGATCACTATTTCGGGTTTTTATCTGACACAAACAAGAAAGTATTAAAGTTCATTTTACTCCTCCCACAGGTCCGAGTGACTCGGTTTCCTATTAAACAAACCAGGGTAGTGTTGCACCATGTTTTGTTTTTTTTCCAAAACACAGAACACACAGCTCATTAAACATAAGGAGATATTCACTCTAGTAATATGTACAACTGCATGGCTGAGTGTGGTAGTGACTAAACAAAATATGACTCACATTCACAAATACATAAACACAAGTCAAACCTTGGCATCGCTTCTCTTCTTTCTTGGTTTACCCTCCTGTCCATCACCGTTTGACCTCCGACCTTTTCTCCCAGTGGGCTCCTTTCCGAACTGACTCGGCAGCTGTGAGGACGACAAAGGGAGAGGCAGAGGGCCGTGAGAGCGGACCACGACGAGGAAATAACTTGATTGAAGGTTAAGGGCCCCTGGTTTTAAAACTACCATGCAAACAAGTCCATGTTTGTTGTTCGTGCAAACAAACAAAACACTTGGACGACGTTTAGTGATTGTCTGTTTGAAAACTCATTGTGCAAGATGTGGTTCTGGTGGGCGGGACGACAAAGCACAAAATTTATGGCCCCCTTTATGGATACGCAGCCTGTAATTCATTCAGAGTGCTTTTCATTTTAACCAAAGAGGTACACAAACTGCTCACCTTGCAAACTGAACATTGGACGTGATTACTCTTCGGTAAACTTCACCACAAACAATTCAGAAAAGGGTATTAATTCAGAAAGGAAGAAAATGGGCTTCTGATTCCCCCTTTTCTTCTTTCTGTTTACCATCCAGCCCCGCAGTTTCTTTCTGTTAGCACACTGCCATATGGAGACTGACAGGACAAATGTGGGTGCACCTGCTGCTCCTAAAATCTGCACAATCTTGAGGGTAAAAGCAGAGGAACATCCAGCCAAAAAAACCAAAAAATATCCAGCTTTGACTTGAGCAGTTTGGCCTGGAAGGTTGAATACTGCTAAACACACAAAAAGCAGCAAGTGGGTACACAAAAATAATACAGAACGCAGTGCTAATTGCATTAACCTTAGCTCTGTTATAGCTATCCTCAGTGAAGTTGTAATTAGTCAAACTGTAGGGCTGAACAATTTATCGAAATGTTATCAAAATCACACCAAGTCAATGTAAAACTCTCATGAGCTGCAATTTTATGATAAAATGTGTCACAAAATATTAGAAATGTGGCACTACAGATGTTCCCCATGCATGCAAATCATATTCTCAAGAAACAAGGGAACACGAGTATTTAATAGCGACCAGCAAAAACCACGTCATTTCATTATTTCCTATGGAAACAAACTGGAATTCCTACTAAAACTGTGTCAAAATCACGCACTGACTGTAGGTAAAATTAATGTAAAATGTATTGTAAAAGCTTGGAAAATTAAAATCTGTGGTTTCTATAGAAAAGATATTGTCCTTGACTAGACAATTTAAAATAAAAATGCAGCTCAATGAGGAGAATAATTGATTCCGCTTTTCAATATAGAGCCCTGATGACCTCTGATGGCTTGCCATTGTTGGGAGAGTGTGGATGTGTATATTTCTATTTGAATGAGCACAAAAGGCGTCTGAAATGAAGTGCATGCTCAAACAAGACAGCTGTGTCCTTGCCAAGACGTTCTCATTCAAGCTGAGGCTGCGTGACATCACCCCTCGGCCCAGAAAGAGAAACTACTTTGCATCTCAAGCCGTCAGTAGATTTATGTCTCCATAACTAGTTTCACACAAGCTCCTCCGCCAGGCTCCTCCTTCTCAGGGCTTTTAAAATACGAGCTGCTTGACAACACAGCGGGGCCGTGTGAGGACAAACTGACCTGAAATTATTCCACCTTTTAGAACTAATCTGTGGGATATTTGACCTCACGCTGGCCTCGCTTATGGAAAAACTGACCGAATACCACAATAACGCACAAAAGGACAAGACAGCACGCAGTACATTCTGACTAAACAGCCACGAATCACAGCTGTCAGAGACGATGAGCTGAGAAAGAGGCTGAAAAATGCTAACTGTCAGAAACAGTTACTTCCGACCACATCAAGAACCTGATGGGTGAAGGTGTGAAGAGCTACACAAATGTGGGTTCTGTTTGTTTCATGTTTCACCTTTATGACAAAAGGCTTTCACAATAAATGTTATATAACAGATTGTCAAAATAGTTGCCGATTAATGTGCTTCATGTCAGCTAACTTTAATTAATTATACAAACCTTTCTGCTCTTGACTTGATTAACAGAGAAACTGTAACTTTAACCCTCTGAACCCGAGGCATTTTGCTCCTGTCACATCTTTACTCACCGTGGGCTCATTTTTCACTGCAATATAAAGTCCTTCGCCTTTATGGTAATAACACAACCAAGACTAGAAGAAGAGAAAATCCTCCTGCACAAGGTAACCCAGTAAAATGTAATTAATCCTAAAGTATATTTAAAAAAAAAAAAAAAGAATTTCTTTGATTATTTACTTTACAAAAAATGACATAACCTAGAATCAACATGCACAACATTTACCCAAGTGTCCACAGGTGTTGGAAAATAAATGGTAGCTCTTCATCTGTAGACATTTTACTATTTAAATATTTAATTAGTCTCCATCTCTGACTTCCATCTGCTCTGTGTAAACACGGCCTGCAGCTGAACTGAAAACTGAATTTTTGCCACATGACTGTTGGTTGCAGTTGAGTCATTCATGGCTTCTTGGTTGCAGAGTGCAGAGTTTTTGTACAGAATGCAATCAGTACAAATGCTTCTTTTTCTTTTAATTCAAAATTTCTAATTTTGAAATGAGACGTGTAAAATGAAGGGATGTTAATGGAGTACTGAGATTTAAGGCTTAGATTTGGTTTGGACAAGTCCCACGCGATAAGTTCAAGAACACCTCCTACTGTTTTTACAGCTTCTTGCTCTGATTTATAACATAATTTTGCCGATTTTTAAAGAGACAACACACTGTTCAAACCCACCAGTGTGTTTTGGGGGTTCAGAGGGTTAACTAACACTTGATTTATTCACAAGAAGAGTGAACTAACTCCCCACTGATGGTACTTACGTCGCCCATGTTGAGGTCATGCACCAGCAGGTTCTGGTTGTTACTGACGGTCACCTCCAGCAGCTCCGTGCTCTTCCCCAGACCTCCAGGGTAGAGCGGCAGGCGATAATCGTGCTCCGACAGCTTCTCCTGCTTGATGCCCATGGCGTGAACATAGTCTCCAACCCCGGCGCACCCCAGGCTGCCACCCTGGGTGCCCATGCTGCAGTCGGGGGAGTCGCGCTCCTTCTTCAGGATCATCTCTTGCGGCGGAAGGTCCTGCATGACGGAGTGGGCGGCCAGCCGGGTGAAGCTGGTCACCGGGGGGAGGTGGCTGAACATAATCATGCCCGCTCCAAAATTGGAGTCCATGCTCCCGTTGGAACGCAGGAATTCATTGCCTAGTTTGTCTTGAATGATGCTCATTGTGAAGGCCGGCGGGCAGGTAAACTATGGGGTGGAAATCAGTGTCATCCTGTGAGCAAAACAGAGGAGGAGATGATTAAAACAGTAACAACGAACACAGTGACAACAAACTCAAAAGAAGCAGTACAACTAGTAATCTAGTCCGTGGGGATACACACAAATAATAACAGACAACAGTGATGAAGCCAGTTAAGCTCGGTCTTCAGGAATCAGTGTCATGGCCTCCTGATCTCACAACCGGGCGCTTAGTCGGATTAAACCGACAGTTTGTGGGTCAACAAAAGGCCGCAGTCTGGAACGACGACAAATGGAAACAATCCGCAGATACAGCGTGCAAAACACTGCCTGATTGCAACGAGTGTGTTCTGCATTTTAAAGGGCAAAAAGGTCACGGTGACTGCAACTCCAGACACAACATGAGAGAAGGAATCACAGGATTGAAGTTGTGAGTTAATCTTTTGATGGGCCTATCTGGACCAGTCATCCTATTTGCATGAGCTTATCTGCCAATGAGAGCGCACACGGGCTGCATTGGAAGGTCTGCTGCTGTAATTATGCAGCTGCTGCATAAACAAATCATGTCTATGTCCTCCAATAGCTCTCAATGAGCACAGTTAGATGCGTATCAGTAACAGATTTGATTTTTGTTGATACAGAATTCACAAGAAAAACAAAAAAAACAAGTTAAAGGTTCTGATCTGACAAATCTCAGTCACTGTGTTTTTTTTTAAACCGGGAATAGTTGACGGATTATCAACCTGGACATTTAAAGGATCTGAAATCAGCATTTTTGCGATTATTGGTACTCTTTAAAACGTATTCCTGACGTCATAAATATGCTTTGAAATGCTCTCCTTTGGCTCCAGTGCAGCTGCTTCTCCATTTGTAGTCACCAAGCTTTGATTTTGAGCCATGTTCTGCCCACAACACATCTGACATCAGCCAATCAGAACTGATGGATAAATGTTGAAAAGTTCTCCGTTAATTAAATATATGTAAAACATAACTAAAGACATTTTAACAAAGGTTGGAGCTTGTGGTTAAATTTTGGCACAAAGCTTTTTATTTTTTACTGAAAATGTGTATCAGCTACCAGTCTCCTTAAATACTAATTATCGATATTAACACTGAAAACAAAATAATCATCTGAACCCTACTACGTGCCACAGTCTCTATCGGTGAATAAGCACTTCCAGTTGTTCTTATGAAATTAGTAAATCAGTAATGCTTAACAAGTTCTAATCGAAAGTACAGTTTGAAACAATGCAATTAGATAATCGCAGAGGCTGCAGTTTAGGATAAACGCAGCGTGACTGATTCAGGGTTTACACTGTGGATGGTGTTGTAATTTCATGGCATCATCGCTGTGTGATTGTCACACTTCTGATGGCGTCTCATGTGCTGATGCTTCGTCACATGTGTCCCATTCGTATTCCATAGTAAATATTTAACTGAAGCTTGATGGTAATTAAGCAGATTGCAAGACAATCCCAATATCTGTCTGAAAAAGTACATTTTCCTCAATCATTCAACCCTACTTAGACGTTGCTTATATTTAAATTAAATTTGACCAAATGCAATTTCTGAGTGTTGCCAAGTCAACTTTGCAAAACAAAAGAAAAAAGGATAAACTTCACTTATTTTGTTTAACTGGTTGGGGACAAACCAACCTAAAATTAAAGCTCTTTTTGGATCAGTCAGGAAAAAAAATAAGTCAAGAGCCTGATAGGAGTGCGAGACTGAAGAGCTACACAAATGTAGGTATTGTGTATATATGCTTCATGAGAAAAGCGGCTTTAGTGATGAAGACTTGTGTCTCCTTGGATGAACTTAGAAATCAAAAAAACATCTTTGTAAAAGGTGGAGTAAAATACTTTGGCAAATACTGTAGTTAAAATGTCCATCCCTTTCTTCAGTAGTCCAGTGGTTCAGTGTAATCAATATATTTTGCTGATATTTCATATTAT